CCCTCAGTGAATACAACCAAGGAATAACAGGTGACAGGATACCTTAGTGTGACCACAATTATTGCCATGTATCATGTCTGGGCTTTTGTTTGTTTTCTTCATTTTGCATAGCTCTGTCAGGAAGATAAGGTAGAAAAAGGCAAGGCATCTGTTGATATTTTTTCGTTTCCACACTGTCTACTAAGATTTGGTGAAAGGTTGAGATTGTTGTCATAACAATTTTTGTTGAGTAAGCCTAAATTTCATCCATTCCAAAAACTATGTTCACACTGACATTTGGGAACATATTTTTTTGGGTATTTACATGAAAACTGATGTTTCTGAAGTTTCATTCAAGTATATTATTACAGATTGATTATTATCATTATACCCCTAAATTTGCTATTGGCTGTATTTATCAAACACAAAATCATAACCCTTAGAGTAAAACCTTCTAAGGATGCTAAGGAAAATATAATTCTCAGGCACAGTTCATACTTTTCAGTGGTTTTTTTCCCTCTGTTTTTAAGTTCGGATATTTCAAGTGTATTTCATCATAATCATGCTCTAACATGTGCCTCTTCAGATGTTCTTCTCCATTTTTCTGTCTTCATTCCAATCTGTTTTCTTAACCATCTTAAGTAGGCTTTTAGTAAAATCTGCTTTGTGAAACCCCAGATGAAATCCTATGTTAATTATTTACTTTTTTTTTTTTTCTTCAGTCTAGGAGTCTTCTTTATACCCTGCATTTTTTATGTAGTATTTTTTTTTTTAAGATTTTATTTATTTACTTAACAGAGATCACAAGTAGGCAGAGAGAGAGGAAGGGAAGCAGGCTCCCTGCAGGGAGCAGGGAGCCCAATGTGGGGGTTGATCCCTCTGTTAAAGCAGAGACTTTAACCCACTGAGCCATCCAGGTGCCCCTTTATGTAGTCTTTTATCCAAAAAACAAAAAGTTTGTGCCCTGAAATAAGATCAGTTCACAAAAATCAAGATGCTTCTTTTGTAGTTTCTGAGGTTATTTTTTATCATGTCCCTAAATACAATACGTCATTAAAGCCATTTTCCATCTTCTCCCCTTTTTCCTATTCTTTCCAAAGTAGAACATTCCAAAAGTGATTACTGTAGTTTGTGACTTTATGCCTCAGTCCTCTGGTTTTTGTGGGTTTTTTTTGTTGTTGTTGTTGTTGTTGTTTTAGGTGTTTCTGTTCTGGTATTATACTTAAGGACCACAGTATGTCTATTTCATTTCTTACTAGTTTCTATTTTTCAAATTGAATTGATAATGTAAATTTATTAAAACCCAGCAAGAAGCAATAATCAGCTGATATTTTTAAACCATTCTATACATTGAAAAGTTCTCTTCAGATTGATATCTAGAGAGTGCCAACGCAATTTGTTAAGTTTTGAACGTTATTTTTTATCTTTCTTAAGATCTTTTCTTAAATATCTTTATTTTCTATTTATGCTCGCTGCCCCCTTTTAAAAGTTAGATATATATATATTTTTTTTTATTTTATTTGCTTGTCAGAGAGTGAGCAGCAGAGGGAGAGGGAGAAGCACCCTATGTAACAGGGAACCCCACTCAGGCTCAATCCCAGGACCCTGGGATTATGATCAGAGCTGAAAACAGATGCTTAACCAACTGAGCTATCCATGTGCCCCTACAATTAGATTCTTACTGATTATTATTTTTTTTTAACCTGTAAGTCCCTCTACCTATACATTGTTGTCCTTATTCTATGTTCCCATGGCTTTCTGAAAATTAGAAAGACTAAAAATTTAAGTGATGGAGAGAACATACCATGAAGTAACCACAATTTGGTTATTCATTATGTAGATGATATTAACAGCAGTGTCAGTTCTTAAGATTCTGCTCTCTGGGTAGGTAATTCTGTACTTGTGATTGCAGGAGAACTGCTCGTGCTTGTTTACTCCTAGCAAACCAGGCTGCATCTCTTCATACTATACTGCCTTTTTTTATGTAGGACTTTGAAACTAGCTATAAAGTCAGGTAGTAAAAACTATAATCCAATTGCCAAAATAACCAGTACTTTGGAAATCAAAGTTTATTTTTAAAGTAAAAAGTAGAATTCTTAAAGAATAATACTATTTTCCTAATAGTGCTGGTAAGGATTTGAGGAAACAAAATGTGATTCCCTAGCACTTAGAATCTCATCTTCATAAGAGAAAAGTGAGGGAGAGTAATAGGCAGAAAGTGAAGAGAGTATAGAGAAGATAACATTATAAGAAAATTTTGTCTTTCTGTGCTCCATTTTTCCCTCATTTGAAGAGATTGATAGTAAAGCCTCTTGGCATTGGACTTAATAGTGCAAGTATGTAAACTATCTAATCTCTGATACTGTTTATGAATGCACCTCTTACTGACATTTTCCTAATGACAGATTGCTGAGTTCATAAGCATTGTTGCATCTGCAAGTAAAAATTTACAGGGTTTTGGACATTATTTCAGTGGTGAAATCACATTGGAGAGGGGTAGGCCGAAGACATCAGTGAATGCTGCACATCTAGTGTATAGTGTATGGTGTTTCAAATTGGATTTTTACTTTTTGTCTCCTCTAGCACTTTCTTCAACACACATACATATATCACAAAGCTTTCCTTATTTTGAAATATAAATCTAGTAAGGCAAAGTTTTGTTCACAGTTATTTTAACTTGAAAAATTGCTAAAGGTAAACTGAAAGTGTTACTGTTTCATATGATACTTAAGAATATTTCATGCAGCTTTAGACTTGAAATTATTGTGCTCATTTTGTTTTTAAAGAAGTTAATAACTTAATATATTCTTAAAATCATCTTACTCCAGGCTTATTTGTGTGAGTTTTGATACAGAATTTTAACCTGATACAGAAATACAAATTAAGAGAAATTAAATATGATGGTCCTATCATACTGTAATACTTAATTACTCACTTAAGAATCATGTATTTATTAAGCATTTTCTCTGTACCAGGCAGTCTTATTGCATTTAATAAAATAGACAAAGCCTTTGCTCTCATGAGTCCTGCACTCTAATGGGAAAGAAAGAGTAGGAGCATTGTAAACACTGAAGGAGGTTAGTTTTAGATACTGATAATACTCAATTCTTTCAAATAATTACCTAAGTATTTATAATAATTGATCCAAATTCTAAGTCATTAGCAGTCAGTCTGTTAACTGCAGTTGGTTTGGACCTTATCCCAATGGGTTATACTGTTCACAAATGTAGTTATTAACATCACTTTTATTAAACTGATCATGGGTAGTTAGGATTTTTAGAATAATTTTAGAGCTAAAGTGTACCATATAGATCATCTAGTACAACTCTGCCTTCAAAGGGGAAGTTGAGGCACTTAAATTCATGGGAATGTTAGCAGATATTTCTGAGCAATGATAACAAATGATAGAAAAATTATCACTATTTATGAGAATTGACTATTGCTAACATTATAAGTATGAACGTAAGAAAAGTATAAAGTTGGGTTGTTTTTTTTTTTTTTAAGATTTTATTTATTCATTTGACAGCACAAGGTGGCAGAGTGGCATAAAGAGGGAGATGGAGAAGCAGGCTCTCTGCCAAGCAGGGAGCCTGATGTGGGGCTCAATCCCAGGATCCTGGGATCATGACCCAGGCTAAAGGCAGCCACTTAACCAGCTGAGCCACCCAGGTGCCCCAAGTACAAAGTTTTTTTTAAAAAGGTTGTTAATGGGGCACCTGGGTGGCTCAGTGGGTTAAATCCTCTTCTAAATCCTCTTCCTTCAGCTCAGGTCAGGATCCCAGGGTCCTGGGATCGAGCCCCGCATCGGGCTCGCTGCTCGGCGGGGAGCCTGCTTCCTCCTCTCTCTCTCTCTCTGCCTACTTGTGATCTCTCTCTGTGTGTGAAATAAATAAAATTTAAAAAATAAAATGAAAATGTTGTTAATAGGGGCACCTGGGTGGCTCAGTGGGTTGGGCCGCTGCCTTCGGCTCGGGTCATGATCTCAGGGTCCTGGGATCGAGTCCCGCGTCGGGCTCTCTGCTCGGCAGAGAGCCTGCTTCTCTCTCTCTCTCTCTCTCTGCCTGCTTCTCTGCCTACTTGTGGTCTCTCTCTGTCAAATAAATAAATAAAATCTTTAAAAAAAAAAAAAAAGGTTGTTAATATATGGGCACCAAGGTGGCTTAGTCAACTAAGCCTCTTACTGTTTCAGCTCATGTCATGATCTCATGGGTCATGTGATTAAACCCTGTGTTAGGTTCCATGCTCACCTCGGAGTCTGCTTAGAATTCCCTCCCTTTGCCTTCCCTCCCACCCCCAAATGCACATATACTCTCTTTCTTTTTAAAATAAAATTTTTAAGGGTATAAAAAGTTTGAACCAATAATACTCTTTTTATCCTTTAGTACTATAGTTTAAGCTGATTTTATGTTCTTTAATGTCTAAATCTACAGTTTTCTGCTTTGGAGAAGGTCCAGCATGGAATTCAGACTGATTTCAGAGATGAAGAACTTGACTCTATTATAAATTTACTCCCCCCACCCTTTTTTTTTTAAGATTTTATTTATTTATTTGACAGAGAGGGATCACAAGCCGGCAGGTGGCAGGCAGAGAGGGGAGGGGGAAGCAGGCTCCCCACTGAGTAGAGAGCCCAATGCAGGGCTTGATCCCAGGACCCTGAGATCATGACTGGAGCCAAAGGCAGAGGCTTAACCCACTGAGCCACCCAGGTGCCCCTATAAATTTACTTCTTTGGAAAGTTCTCTCAGTTTACCCAAATCAGAGCAAAAATTAAGATCATATTTTTGAACAAGAGATGAGTGTTTTGTAGATTAAGGTCATTGTATTTTTGTATTCAGATACTCTTTGTGCTTTAGTATTACCATTGTGTTAAGGCATGTTATATGTGAAAAAATTGACAAAAGAAAAATACCATATCAATAAACTGTAGAACCAAGATACTCAGTTATATACAGATGGTATATCTTATATGCTACAAATATTCAATATTCAAATGTTGTCATAAATAATTTTCTCCACAATAGGTACTGTCTTCTAAAAATTCTAAAGCAATGTCAGACACTGAGAGAAGCTCTTATTACCGCAGGGAAAGAAGTTATATGGCATGGGCGGACAAATGATGAACCGGCACATTATTGTAGCATTTGTGAGGTAACTGCTCTTGCTGACAGTTGTTTTATTGTAGAATCTCTAGTTTGGGGGTGTCTTTTAAATTACAGATTTACCTATACTTTTATATAATGCATTTTTTGATTAACAATTATATTAAATTTTCATCTGATGGTATAATATTTCATTTAACTTAATTCAGAAGTAATGTCTACAGAAGCATTCATGTAGTATTTCCTTACCAGTTGACAATTATCTTTGTTTTAAACTAGCAGTAATCTACAATAAGTATACAAATGCCAGCAAACTTATCTATTTCTTTGTAGATCCAGGCATATCAGTCATAATGCCATTTATTAATATAGTTGTTGGTTTTTTCCTGTGACCAAGGCTTCCATAAAGTACAGAAATAAAAGATTGGTACTTCCTGGAGAGGAGCTTACTTCTACTTGGAGACAGAATGTAAACAAGTTATAGATGCACATGAAAGTGATGAATATGAAGCTGGACATGTATGGACTGTTATAGAAACAGTGAAGAAAATAATTGCTCTTACTGGTTTAGAACTTACAGGCTGTTTTAAAATTTGACTCCTAAGGACTGTAAGAGGAGATGGGTTTAAGGAATTTGATCTTTAATGTCGTTGAAGCCATAGAAGTTTCAAGCAAGGCACTAAGTGAAGATGTGTGTTTTATTAGAATCCAGCTAGAAGGCAAAGGTGTCAGTTTGGAGAATATTGGAATGGTCTTGAGGGTTTAACAAGGGTTTAATTAAGCTAGTCTTTCATTTTAGGAATATAAAAAGAAAGGAGTTTAAAAGTGTTTAGGTCAGCAGGGTAGTTGATCACATGGAGAATGATGACAAGTTCAGGAATCCCAAATTTTTAAGTTTTGTAAACTATGTTATTTATGGATAGTAATAAAACACCTTAGAAACTGACATTTTAACAGTCCTGTTCTAATATGATTTTAGTTGGTAAGTTTTTGTCATAAAATCAAGCAGTGGTTAAAGGACCCACTTGGATAGGAAATTGAAAATCCAAACTAAATCTTGAAATTGTGTGATAGCGGGGTAAACTGACTATATCTCTTGGCTATTATAATATTGTGTAATCTCATCAAAATATGTTATAAGATCTACGAGATTCTTTCAGGTTAGGTGTCATACTTCAGTTAAATATATAATCTTCAGAGTATTTGAAAACAAAAGTGTTGCAGCTGTTATCCTGAATTCTGCTGGATCTTTACAAATCATTATGGTTTCTATATTAAAGAGGTTCTTACTATCTTCCGGTGTAATACTCATGAATATGCTGCCTGTACTTATTTTCTTTAATATACAGGACTTACAAGTGACCACTTCTTGTTACTCATCTGTCAGCTAAAAATAACTAGTTAATGGGGTTACTTGGTTGGCTTAGTTAACCACATAACTTTTGCTCTCAACTCAGGTCATGATCTCAGGGTCCTGAATTCAAGCCCCACATTGGGCTCGCTGCTCAGTGTGCGGCCTACTTTAGGGCAAAAAACCCCAATCTGTGTATATATATATATATATATATATTTTTTAGGATTTTATTTATTCATTTATTTGAGAGAGTGAGAGAGAGGGAGCATGAGAGAGGAGAGGTCAGAGGGAAAAGCAGACTCCCTACTGAGCAGGGAGCCCAACAGGGGACTCAGTCCTGGGACTCCAGGATCACTACCCAGGCTAAAGGCAGCTGCCCAACCAACTGAGCCATCCAGGCACTGAATATGTATATTTCAATTATTTTGTTTTTCCTTTTATTATTAGCTTTCATTAAATATTTATGATACATGCTCTCAAGGTCCAAATCTGAATAAAACATAGTCACCACTTTTATGGAGCCAATCTGTGAAAGGAGAGAAGTATCTAAACACAAACAGCTAATGAACTGTTAAACACTACATCAAAAACTAATGATGTACTGTATGCTATTTGAACATAATAATAAAAAAATTATAATTTTGAAAAAAAAATAAACCCAACACTATGGATGCTATCATAGAGAAGTAAAAAGAATCATTACTTTTACCTGATTACTTATACTTATATTTTGGATAAAATAAAAATAAGGTGACCTTTATCAAACTGAGTATTAAACTTTTGAAGTTTTTTTTTTTTTTTTTTAAGATTTATTTATTTATTTATTTATTTGACAGACAGAGATCACAAGGCAGAAAGGCAGGCAGAGAGAGAGGGAAGCAGGCTCCCCACCGAGCAGAGAACCCGATGTGGGACTCGATCCCAGGACCCTGAGATCATGACCCGAGCCGAAGGCAGCAGCCCAACCCACTGAGCCACCCAGGCGCCCTAAACTTTAGAAGTTTTAATCAGTATTTGATTCCCTTGGATCGGTCTCTAAATACATATTATGGCTCTCGTTTTTGCTGTACAAGTAAACCTGGTATATCAAACATACAACTATGAGGGTGTGTATTTTTTTTTTTTACATACTTCCATTTACAAAAATCACTGTCCATAATTTCATGTAAAGTAGAATTCCATAGTCACATTATAGTGCTGCAATCAATACAACTCTCCATTCAGTGCTTTTTTTTTCTCTTCTATTAAAATAGGTGGAGGTTTTTGATCTTCTTTTTGTCACTAATGAAAGCAATTCTCAAAAGACTTACATAGTACATTGCCAAGACTGTGCACGAAAAACAAGTGGAACTTTGGATAATTTTGTGGTGCTAGAACAATACAAAATGGAGGACCTGATACAAGTCTATGACCAGTTTACATTAGTAAGTGAATTCAGTATGTGAGTACATAATTAGCTGGGTTTTTGAAGCAACAGTGTTTGTTTTTGGTATCTGATAAATACAATTTATAATAAGATATTTAAATTTTCTCTTGGCTCAGTAGATATTGCATAACAATGAAATATTTCTGTGTTTTCCTTATACTTTAAAGCCCTTTATCCATGTGCAGTTGATACACATTACTATTTTTTCTTTTCAGTAAGAATGGCCTAAATAATAACCACAATACATTTGAAAATCTTTGTTTTCTTTTATAATACTGTGATAGTCTTTATGTTATTTTATTTCACTGATAAAAGATGGGTTACTTAATTCTATATGGATGCTCTATAAGGAAATCAGTATTTTTTTAATGTACTTGTGTTTTCAGAGGTCACTGCATTTGTTTAAAATCTGTTGCTTATCTTAAGTGCTAAACTCTTGGGAATATTTATGTTTCTTGCTTAATGGTATAATATATAAGGTGTGGAAAAACTAAATTCATATTATTTTAAATGCCATTTTTATGATTTCAAGGACATGTTGAGATACCATTTATATCTGGCTTTGAGTGGCAGTAGGATTGGAAACATTTAGTCATGAACTGTTGGCATTTTTCCGTGCTTTTTCTTCAAAACTTTGAAATCTAGATTCAGATATTTTTAATTAAATTGTTCTCAGAATTGCTTGAAAAAGAAAAAAATTATGACAAATATGTGAAATATGTATTCTACCAGAGAATTGTTCATAAGCCAATCACTCACTACCCAAATTTTAATTGACTTTTCAAATTATTTTCCACACTACTCTTTCAGCAGTCTAAAAAAATAGGTCTAAATGTTCCATTGTGGGTTTTTGTGTTTTTTTTTTTTTTTACTAAATTTTGAACTACAGAAAAATGGGGTAATGTTTCAAGAACCCAGTTGAATATTGAACTTTGTGGGTATTTGGTGTTGCTTTCTAACTCATGTCATCAATAGGCTGTATGTTGATAGTCCTGAGCCAAGAGCTGTATTAAGGATTAATATGCAAAAATAGTTAACATACCTTATTTTTAATTTTAGGCTCCTTCATTGTCAACATCCTCTTGATACTAGACCGTGAATATTAAATGACACCTTTTCTGCTCATCAGGAAAGGTCTTGCTCCACTGGTTTTATAGCTGTTCATAAGACTGCTGACTAAAAGCTATGTCTATGCAACCTTCCAAGAATAGAGTGTCAACCAACTGGATGTAGGAGAATACTGCCTCTCCTCCAGGACTCTCACAAAGTTGATCCGGCTGTAACTAATCATAATGGCATGTTTTATGATATCTGACAGTATGTGGCAATGTCAGACTACTGATTTGAAGATAACCTTTTTCTATATTTCTGTATTTCTGGACAGCTAAATTAGTTTTCCTCTATAGTTTTCCCTTTCAGAATTTTTGTGAGGAAAAATTAATGTTATAGCTGGCCAGTCACTTGTTAAGATGTTTAATGAATTTCAAATCTTTAATCAACTTTTTTTTATGTAAAAAATTAGATGAGAAAGCTTGGGGGGTTTTGTTTGTTTTGTTTTGTTTTTTTATCATTTTATATTTTTGTCTGTTGTTTGAGGCCACGGTGATTACACTTCTAATTTCCAAAATAAATGTTAAGAAAAACTCCTAGCCTAAGATCCAAGACACAAAGATAATGGATTGCACATAGTATAAGGAATAAACTTCAGATTTGTGATTTTTGTTTCTAATCCCGACACAGATTTACACTATTTATGAATACATATTTATTGCTTGAAAATATTTGTGATGGAATGTTGTTAATTTTACCTGAGATTTACCTGCCATTAAATATTAAGGAGTTCTGTAATTTTAAACAGTACTCCTTTTACATTTTCTATGTGTAAATAAATAAACTGTGTAGTATTGTACAGAAACTTTTATTAAAATTGTTTAATGTTTAAAGGGTTTTCCACAGTTTGAGTTTTAAAAAAGACTTCCTGTAAAGACCTAGCTTTTGTTCATTTTCAAATCTGATTCTATGTATTTTATATATACGTATATATTCACACGTGTATAACATAGAAATAAAAATATATAATTGTATAAAGATAAAACAGATTTTAAAATTTTCACATTTATGATCATTTTTGAGCTGCCTGCTGTAAAGTAGTGGCTTACAAAATATGCTTTTTTTAAAGTAAATGTCTTTTCAGCCTGTTTTATTTAGTTATTGTAGTGATAGCCAATATTTCAGGCAAAATGTATATTAGAAAACAAATAGTGAATTTGAGATGTTAAGGGAAACATCATAAAGTTTGATAAGTTTTATTTATCACTTTTTTACTACAGAAAAGAGATTCAGACTGATGATGGCTTCCGCTGCAGAGAACAAATACGTTAAATGACTTATTTTTAAAAATTAGATAACTTTGAAATTCCATACTTTCCATTTGTTGAATATAGCTGAGGAAGGAAAGAGGAGAGATACTCAAATTCTGTATCACTAGTCAATTTCAAGAAGTTCTATGAAGGCTTTTGTTTCATATGAACAAATAACTTAACCATATTAATCTCATTTTATAATAACACCTGGTTTCTACCTCTACTTTTTCTGAAGCATTTGGCATGTATTCTCATTTTATCACAGTGTTCTAAAACTTTCCTATGGACCTTTGGTGGAGTTCTATAAATGAAGTTGCACAAATATCTAAGAGAATTTTTAATCTTATCTAGTGAACTGCCTTGAGAGATTATATATGTCAAGTATCTCTTTTCAAATAATACTCAAGTATTCTGACTTCCTAGAAATAGTTTAAAGAAGAAACTTGTAGATACTTTATTAAATTAGGTAATAATTTTTCAAGAGTTAAAATCTTAACAGCAATCATCATGGTATAATTTCAAAGGAAAATAATTGCAATTCTGTTTTAATTAAGGAAAAAAAAGTACTTCATCCTACTCAGTTATTTTATAATTACTGTTATTTTTGTGGTTCTTTTGTAAAAGCTCTTATCCAGAAGTCATTGATAATAAAAGTCAAGACATACTTTTTCCCCTCCCCAACTTAAATTCCAAACCAACCCCCGGGAAACAAAAATTATAAAGTACTAATAGTATATATATGAGTTTTTCTTAACCACTTCTGTTTTGTATTACTTACAAAACATCTTATTGTCTCATCTCTTTTTGAAATGATTAATTGCCATGATTAATGTAAATTGAATTTATTGAATTGACTTGGACATAAATATGACTTAGTTCTGTTTCTTAATATATTTGGGTTATATGTTAAGAATTGTACTTTTAAGAAGGTTACAGTTATTAAATAGGATAGGAAGTGAAAAATCAAACATATCAGTATTACTTAGAAGTATATCTAGATAATGAAGTCCTCTGTTATATATTTTCATCAATTTAACATCCTTTGCAATTTGGATTTGGAGGACATTAAAGAAATAGATTCTTTCTTTTTGTTCTTTTACTCCTAGAGGTGTGAGACTCATTAAGATGTCTATCCAGGTGCCTTCAATTAAATTTGTATCATAGCACACACATTACATAAAATAGCAGCTACTAATCCAGAAAGAGTGCACTTGGTCATATTCTTTTCTGTTTGTTACAATTTAAATAGGAACTCTAATTCATGGCATATAATTTATGAAAATCATAAATTTTGTGCAATGGATATGCAATTCACTTTGCTATATTTACCCAAATCCTGGCTTCTGCGTTGTCTGAAGAAGTAAATTGAGAATTAGGACCTTCATGTTTGTCAGTCATACCGCTAAGTAGACTGGAAGTTAAAATCCTGCAAAAGAGAAGGACAGAGAATTCTTTGGAATAAAATTACATAACAAGGAAATGAGATAGAGCAAAGAAAACACCAAAGAGAAAAGAGGAGATAACATTTGTCACATCAGAGCTTTTGAAAAAACTATGTCTAAGTCATGAAAAGAGAATAAACCAAAAAGATGTTAGCATAGCAAGTGATACTAGTCTGAGCAGCTTTAATGAAGAAATGGGAATAAAGACTGATAGCCATGGTGAGGCTAAGATTATGAATTTTGAGATGGATCAGTTGTGTCCAGAAACATCCTAGATATGAGGTTTTCTTCTTTGGTAAATGCTAGACAGACTAACAACTTCATTTGATTTGATTTGATTTGATTTGATTTGATTTGATTTGATTTGGTGTTTTGTTTTTTTTTTTTAGTAATCTACACCCAACATGGTGCTTAAATTCATGACCCTGAGATCAAGAGTCACATGCTCTTTCAACTAAGCCAGACAGATAACCCCAGGTTACCATATTTAAGCAACATTTTTATAGCATTGACCTAGAGTGCTTTATACAGTACTGTTCTCTTTCAGTATTTGAAACAACCCAGATAATGTTTTGCTTTTAGTATGATTTAATTATACATACTATCATGCATTTATACAGAGCATCATTCAAAGGATTTTTTCAAATGTGCCTATTTTAACCTTCAGTGATCTTTGGGTAAGCACTTGTTTTATTTTACAGATAAGGTATTAAGGGCTGGAAAGATAAAGATTTAAATTCTGGCTATATTACTCTAAATGGAGTGTTTACTCCGTCCTACTATAGAAAATTCGGAATTGAAAGTGCTTAAAAAACCTTTTGTGTTTGAGGAATCTTTTCATTGTTCTCTCTTTAAATTTGAAAGCCTGTAAAGTAGGCATATGTATTTTGTTTCTTAATTACATTTTAATTTTCACATAATTGGGCATTCACTTGCAATGGTAAGAAAATAGTAACACAATTCTTGTATGTAGGTTAGTGTCTTTGCCGCAGAGGGAACATCCTGCAGAACTATAGTATAATATGCTATTTCAAGTTATGGATAATAATATAGTCAATATACAGAATATTGCTTTCAGGGCGCCTGGGTGGCTCAGGCACTCAGGTAAGCTCAGACCTCTACCTTCAGCTCGGGTCATGATCCCAGGGTCCTGGGATCGAGCCCCGCATCAGGCTCTCTGCTTAGTGGGGAGCCTGCTTCCCCCTCTCTCTGTCTGCCTGCCTCTCTGCCTGCTTGTGATCTCTCTCTCTCTCTGTGTCTGTCAAATAAAAATAAAAGAGTTTAAAAAAAAAAAAGTACTGCTTTCACCATTTGGATCTCTCATGTTGCCTTTAATATTCAAATCCACTACACTTACCTGCCTTTTCCTGCCTTTGACTCTGGCAACATTGTTATATTCTCTATTTTTCTAATTTAGCCATTTCAAGAATATTCTAAAGGAAACCATGAAGCATGTTACTTTTTGCTAAAGGCTTCTTTGTAGTGTAATCCCTGGAGATGTGTCCAGGTTGTTGGCATGTATCAGCTTTCTGATTTTGTTGCTGAGTACCATTCAAGGTATGAATGTACCACAGTTTAGCCATTCATCTAATGAAGAACATGTGTATATGCTGTTTGAGCTATGCTAAATAAAGGTATCATATTCATCTACAGGTGTTTGAATGGACACCTTTTATTTTTGCGGGGTAAATGCCTAAGAGGACAATTGCTGGATATATGGTAGTTGTACATTTAGTTTAAAATATATATATATTTTCCCCCAGAGTGACTGTACCATTTTTCATTCCTTTAAAATTTGAGGAATTGCTCCAGTTTTGTTTTGATTTTTGTTTTGTTTTTCTTTTTTCCCCACGTAGTGGTTTCTCAGTCTTTCATAATCCTATTTTTGATGTACAACCTGTAGTGATAAACTGTCTTAATTCTAATTGGTGTTTTGTGGTTTTGTTCATATTCGGTATTGCTAGAGGTTTATCAACAATATTGCCCATGTGGTTTTGAGAACCAGAATTTTGTTCTGTTGATTTCTTCAGTTTTTCCATTTTGTTGATCTCTTTTATTACCATTCTCTTGTGCCATACTTCGGATTTATTTTAGTGGGTGGTTTTGTTTGTAAATATAGGAATTTAGTTTTAGAAGTCTTCTCTTAAATATTTGCAAATGTCTTATCAGATAAAGGGCTAGTACCCAAAAATCTATGAGGAATTTATCAAACTCAATACCCAAAGAATCCAGTCAAGAAATGGGCAGAGGACATGAAGAGACATTTCTCCAAAGATTTGCAAATGGCTAACAGACATGAAAAAAATGCTCAACATCTCTTGGCATTAGGGAAATTCAGATCAAAATCACAATAATATACCACCTCACATCAGTCAGAATTGCTAAAATTAACAGGTCAGGAAATAACGTGTTGGTAAGGAGGCAGAGAAAGGAGCCCTCTCACACTGTTGGTGGGAATGCAAACTGAATGCAAACAGTATGGCGGTTCCTCAAAAGATTGAAAATAGAGCTACCCTGTGACCCAGCAATTGCACTATTAAGTATTTACCTGAAAGATAATAATGTAGTGATCCAAAAGGGCATCTACCCCAGTGTTTATAGCAACAATGTCCCCTTAAGCCAAACTATGGAAAGAGCCCAGATGTCCATTGACAGATGAGTAGATTAAGATGTGGTAACACACAGATATATAAACACACATTGGAATATTACTTAGCCATTAAAAAAAAAATAGTGCC